CGTAATATAGTGTTTCCACTTTTTTTTTCTTGGAGCTCCTCTGATTTACTCTATGCTATTTTATGGGTTAGGTCTCTTTCTGCTTTGTATTTTGATAGTTTGTCTCTCCCCTAGTCCTACTCCTCTTATGTGGGTTCTTTGAAGAAGTATTGCTCCAGAGAGAAAGGATCCAGAAAGCCATTACACCTTTGGCTGGAGAGGGATTAGGAAGATACTTCCTTATCAAAAATCACATGAGAGACAGAATGCAAAGCTGTCTGGGGCTGAATGATCAGTGGGAGGGTGCACTAACTGCAATCCAGGGAAAGTAGCTACAGCCAGAAGGCTGTAGAAAAAGCTATGATCTGCATCAGGAGCACAACTGCTTCAAATCACAGCCCAGGAAGGAAGGATCCAGGACAGAAAGATCTTTGACAGATCCTTGACCCTCTTCCATTCTGCCCTCTAATTGACTGTTTCTGTTTCTCAGTGACTAAACACAGTGGAAGCCAAAGTGTGAGGAAGCATGTTGAACGAGTCCATAAAGGTGCTTTGAATGGTATGAAGGGCAGAAAATAAATCCAAGTGAATTAACAGAAAATGTTGAGTTCGATAGTGGAAGTTACAGATAATCTCTCAACAGTATCAGGTTCAGATGGAATCACACACAGCATGGTTGTGCCAATGGCAAAGAATGCTTTGCATTGGCCTTTTAGGGCCAGAATCAATTAAATCTACAGTCAGCACAACAGAATGACTGCAGCTAATTCTTGGATCTTGTTCTAAAAATTTATTGTGAGCATGGGAGAGCATTTACTCAGAGGCAATCATTTCTCATTATGATGAGTCACAACAGATATTTCTAGTTTGGGTAGAGTGAAGTGATATATTTGGTTACTAGAAAAAGGGTCAAGGAAGAAATCAGCTCAGCAGCCTTGTCGTGTACAGAATATCAGCTTGAAGCTTGCCAAAAATGGAAGACAGGAAGACATCTCAGGAAAAAAAAAAATGCTTTCCTTTGCGTACAACCATAGAAGGTCACTTTAGACCAAATTGAGATGGGTAATTAGGAACACTGCACCTGAGTCAAAGTAGAGGAGGAAATGCTGTTTGAAACAGCACTGCAAACTCAACATCAAAACGTAGTATTTAACCAAATTTCACACTGCTTTCCCTATTGTTTTGCTTGTGTTTCTTTATCCTCTGGTTTTTCTGATGGACAGTATAAATGCTGATTTTGCACTATGCTCTGACTTCCAAACTCATTGCAGCAGAGAACGGTTTGCCCTGCTTCAAGGCCTCTATGACCTGGTACCCGTTATAGGGATGAGGTTGGGGTTCACTTGCTAAAGGAATCTGTATTGCTTCCTTCTAGAGGCAGCTTATTTTAGTTTTTTGGCCACCTAGTAGATGTTATTACCAATGTTTTTGGGATGTTGGATTGGAGAGTAAGAGACTAAGTTGTTCATCCCAAAAAGAACAGGCAATCTTAAGTGAGAAAGTGCATGTGGTGACATTTCTTTAGTTATAGACACTGGCAGAGACTTTAAGGATGGTAGGCTGAAGACTAGATCCTGACTATCTTTCCTTTGGTTGATAGGACTTTGGAAAGGACTATGGCAAATTAACCCTTGCTCCAGAGGCAGCTTGGTAAACATGTATTGGTGACCAAGGAGGATATATTTAACTGCTTTGGTAAAAAAAATTCAGATGATGGGAAGGAGCATGGGTGTAATACAGCTTATTTTTCTTTGCAGTGATTGGTTTTACATTGTTTGGGCTTTGAGTCTCCAAAACTGTAGCCATGTTATTTGTAAAAATTATGGTAAGACCAGAATTTTTCTAAGATGTCTTGTGATAGATAAGCTTAGGCACATTAGATTTTCTGTGCATTGTGTTTCTGATGTGCATATACCAGTGCTATTATGCAGAGAAGTAGCTTGTTCAAGTAACTTCACTTAAACAATTCATTTTACTTCCTAATCCCTACCTTCCAATGAAGATAATGTCATTTGCTTGAATTTGTTGTTGTGGTTAATAGTGAGACTTAGAGTGAGGAGTACCAAGAATGCCTTCCTTCCTTGTGTCAACACTGGAAACTCACAAGTTAAACTCATATCCTAGGGAGGCCCAATTTGGATCTGAATTTGGATATCCAGGACATGGCGTAAGATTCCATATTGGAAGCAAGTTATAACTTTGCAGCTTTCTTTTTTTAATTTAAGAACTCTAAGAGTGAGATACTTTCTCTTTTGATTCATAGAGATTATTTGTCCTATTTATCCTGCCCCAAACCACATGACCAATGCCGAGCTCTACAAATCCCAAATATCTTCTTTAATCTTCTGTACCCTCAGGTTTGGCCCCCAGTTGATGTGATATTAGTTATCCTTAGGTACAATGTTATGATTGTCACTTTTGCAATTTCTATAGTATTCCTCTGCTGAAGAAGCTGCAGAAAAGAAATTTATAGAAGGAAAAAAAGGGTTCCAACAAGGGGTAGTTGAAGAGACTGAATCTAAGAATTTAAGAATGTAGTCATGCAAGTAACCCTGTTACTATTCAGGAAGGGAGAAAGAAAGGCTTGTTTATATTGTGGAAGAACTAAATTACTACTAATATCATGCTGGCTTTTGAGATATGGATTCTGGTCTCAGCTGGTCACAGATTGATTGAAAGATGTTGGGACTAAGGTCCGGAGATAGACTACAAAGCATAATTGCAGCTTGAACTACTGAACTAAGGCTTCTCCTTGGCTCCAAATGTAATGTACTATACTATAGTAAATACATTCTATGTTGAAATCCCTGGGTGAGTATACTTCACTGTGAATTTACATTTTGGTTATTTTTTTTTAAATAATAGTAACTTCATGCTTGCCTTGCTTTATTGCTATAAAGTCCAGTGTCATGATTTCTTTAATTTTGAGCTTCTCAGTTGTGACTAACCTACCAACTACTAGTAATGAAATTTTCGTATTTGTATAATAAATATATATATTTATATAACAAAGATCAGAAGGGGGAAAAGAAACACTTACAGCATATAACAGAACACCATGTATTTCTAACCCTCAAAAATGATACTGCCTGTATAGGATACCCATTTTCCATTACTTATGAGTTGGAATTTTCTTTGGGTACTCCAGTTGCCTTTATAACTGGCATTTGTCAATCACTTAATAAAATCATATTCTTAGGAGCTCTTGGGACTATTTGGAGAGTCGTCTGTACCAATACTTATTAAGTGCCTATGCACATCTAAATTCTTAGAAAATGCTGGCAATAGTAACTTTAAATATTTAGATATTTTAGATGTTTAGAGAAGTTTTAAAATGTGACTAGTTAAATGAGGGTAGTCACATGTGTAATTTTGGTTGTAGCCAACAATTTTCTAACTTCTCATCTCTTTTATACCTCTTTTCAAGCTCTTGTAACCCTTTGTATAAATTCTGTGAATCCCCTTGACACTACTAGGTTGACTTGCTGTCCGCATTTTTTTTTTTTTGCACCCTTCATGCTATCACATTCAGATATTTTGGTTTAGAATTGTGCTATTTTCTTTCCTCTTTCTGTCTCCACTGAAAGTATGCAGCTTTTTCTCATTTAGAAGCAGAAAAAATATGTTGAAAATAATTCACTAAAGATTAGTAGGTAAGAAATGGTCATTATATTTCATTGTGAGGATTTTTTTTTAGTCAAGAAAGGCTTGAAGGCTGGATAGTATCTTAATTTGAGAAACAAAGTTCTGTAATATTAGCTTCTAAGCGCACAAGTCTGGGGCATATTTGCCATGGAGAGACATTTTGAAGATCCTTCCAGTCACTTGTGGAGGCAGCTACCTTCACTATCTATGTGACATTTCAGCTATTCCTGCGGTAAAAATCCACACAGAACTGTTGCTTGCACCTTTTCTTTTTCTCTGCTATTCTCTTTGACTTCAGCTACACAACAGTACACACGTACACAAAGTCTTGATTAACCGTTAAATTTTTAAACAATTTTTAAAAATATGTGATTGTTGGGAAGGCAAGTTGATGAACAGAAGTGGAGTGCAGAGAGAGATGTTTCATCAGCCTGTTCACTCCCTAGAAGTCTGTGATGGTTCAGGCAGGGCTAGACCAAAGGTAGGGTCCTGGAAATCCATCCATTGACTGGCAGTGACCCAAGCACTTGGATCATGACTTGCTTCTTTCTGGGTGCATTAGCAGGTTACTGAATCAGAAATGGGACAGCTGGCAGTTGAACTAATGTTCTAGTATGGGATCGTTGGCATTGCAAACAATGCCTTAACTTACTAGATACAGGATTCTGATTTAAGTTTTAAAGTTTGAAATTTAAATTTTTGCCTTTAAAACAAAATCTTGTCCTGAAGCTTTTCATCATATTGCATTCTAAGTTAAAAATACAATTAATGTCCAATCTTAGAAGGTGCTTTTGGGAGGGTAGAAGGCCTGCTTCATCTTTGTGAATAAGTATTATGATTTATTAACACAACTATGATTTGGTTTTTAAGGGTCTTGAAGCTTTTTATCCTTGGAATTTCTAGGAATTTTGATGGGTCCTTTTTATGGAACTATATAAATTGAGGACTAGAGAAGTTGAGAGAGCTAAACTAGACTGTGTTGTGAGTTGCTAAGTGGGGAAGGGAGCATTTTGTCCCAGAGTTAAAATTAGTGCACTCCCACATCTCTGCATACTAGACAAGTTCTACCATTCAAGGCTGGGACGGAGGAGGGGAAGAGGTTACCAACAGCATTCTGGCTGATGCAGTGGGTTTGTCGAGGTCACACAGAAGAGGAAGCGTACGTCTCGGTAATGCTTTGATTTGTCGGTGTGTGATTTATACTCTCAGTTAGACAAGCTGCTCTCTTCCCTTGTTCTCTAACAGGCAGCCTCATTGCTGGAAATGACTGTCAGCTGCTTGCGCTGCATAGCCATCGTCACATGCCTCACCACCGGGGCCTGGGAAGCCTGACCACAGACCAGTGTCTCCAAGGCATGAATAATTAGGGAGGCATAATGGAAGGCACTCACTGCACCCTCCAATTGCATAAGCCCATTACCGAACTCTGCTACATCAGCTTCTATCTTCCGAGGGGAGAAGTCAGAGGCTTTTCCTACAAGGGCACCGTAACTCTAGACAGATCCAATAAAGGTTTTCATAACTGCTACCAAGTCAGGGAGGGGTCAGACATCGTCAGCCTCAGCCGGCAGCCGGCCGAACATCCAGGCGACATATTTTTCAAGCCGACTCCCACAAAAGACATTCTGGCGGAGTTGTACAAGCTCACAGCAGAGAGGGAGAGACTGCTGGCCGATCTGTTGAGCTCAGACCACATCCTGGGGATTACCATGGGGAACCAGGAAGGGAAGCTGCCAGAGCTGTCCGTGAGTCTGGCCCCTGAGGACGACTGTTTCCAGAGCTCTGGTGACTGGCAGGGAGAGCTCCCCGTGGGCTCACGCAATAAGAGAAGCACCCACGGGAACAGAAAACCCCGGAGGTTTGGCGGAAGAAGAGAGAGAACTGAGGAGCTGCCGCAGAAGAGGACAAGAAGGAAAGGGCGTGGGGGCCAAGGACCTGCTGTTTGCATGGGGAAGGACCAGATCTGTTCTAGAAGCTCCCTTCCTTCCAGACTTGGGACTCAGCGTAGGCTTCTCCAGGAAGGAGGAAGTTGGCTCCTGAGTGAGGAGCTTGCTTCCCCGCCACACCAGACAGAGAACTCCCCACCAAATACCTTTAGGATGCTCGATACAGACCTTGGCTTTGGGCGCCCTGGGCTTGGCAGAGGAGCGCAGGACCCAATCTGCAGCTCCACAGAAGTGGCAGAAGATGGTGGGAGGGGCCTGTCTAGGTGGCCTCCTGGCACGCGGTATCAACAAACAGGACTGCCTGAAAGTCACAAGGACCCCAAGAAACATCCAGAGGCAAAGAGGAGCAGGCCAGAGAAGTCAGTTGAAAGGGCTTGCAGGGAAAAACCTGTCTGCAAAGTCGTGGCCAAAGTCCAGGATCTGTCTGCTCATGTGCAAAGAGTGGTCACAGCACATCCTGAGGCTGAGGAAGCTGACTTCCTACCTGGGGCAGACCTGCTCATCCTCCCAGGAACGCAGAGCCCCACGCACTTGGGCAAAGAGCAGCAAGAGTGTGGATCTTCGCCATCAGTGGCAGGAGACTCCATTCGTAGCCCACCAGCTGGTGCTGAGGAGGTTGTGAACAAGGTCCACCTGAAGGTGATAGAGAGCGAGCAGTTGGATGAAGCTACTGAAGGGAAAAAGCTGGGTTTCTGTCTTAGCAAAAGAGCCACCGGTAACCTCCCAGAAACCAGAAGCAAGAGAAGAGCTGGGCCATGTCACAACCTCACTCCCGACTCCCCACAACTTGGAGATGGTAACAGGTGGTCATCACCCCCGGCATCAGCAGCTCCAGGCATGGTATTTAATAATTCATCCCCTCAGTCAGGCACATGCTCCCGGATGTCACCTGTTCCCTCGCCTCTGTCACCAAGGCGCTCCAGTGCACAGCAGCATCACAGGGTCCTTCAGCTCCCTCCACAGCCTGGGGAGAGGGAAGCTGCTCTTCATGACTCTCCCAGGAGAAAGAGTGGTGTTTTTTCTGGGTCTTCCTCTGCTGACATCTTGGAGCCACTGTCCTCTGCAAAGGTCACGGAGACCACAGGAGCCAGCCCGGCCTCCCTCAGAGCAGGCCAACCCCAGCAGGTGCCTGGGGAACAGAGTTTAGGGCCAGACAAGACCGCAGCTGGGGCCCAGTGCCTGTCACTTCCAGGTTAGTCCTTGTTTAAAGTGTTTCTACAACTGTTGTTGGATGATTCAGGAACTATCAGTTTGCTTGTGCTGTTGTGATACTGGGTAATTAACAGGAGACTCAAATTCCTGGCCCTGTTAGCTCACCTCACAGCGAGAAGTGGGAGTGATACAGGGAGTTGTGGAGATGGTGAGGATGGTGTTGATTTAAGGGCTCAGAGGTATAGTCACTTCCAGAAGGAAGGATTTGTAAATGATGTGGTGGGGGACCTGGAAGGAGGGCATGAGACATACTTTATAGCTGCTTCCACGGTTGCCTAACACAAGGACTCTTGGAGGAAGCAGAAATGCTGCAGAGTGAAGTACCAACTTGTCCCTGCCTTTGATGTGAGTGCTGGGTAATCGTGCAGGGTAATTAGCGCCTTGACCTAAATTCTGCTCTTGATACTTTTGGAGTCCTTTTAGGAACTCTGAACAGAAGCACAAAAAGCATGTTGTGCTTCTCCTCCATCTGGTGTTACAAGTTCCTGGTGGCTTTTTTTTTTTAATAATCATTTTTGTAAATGCCATTATTCTGACAAAAACAGAAGAATGAATTCAGTCTCATTTGAAGAAAATTGGTTCAGTTTTTAAAAATTGTTTTTTAACCAACACAAACAAGCTGTTTATTCTCAACCTATTTTATTTATGGGTGCCTGTTGTTAACTAGGATATACAAGAGGTACTGTCCATCTCATCTGATTGGCTTGCTAAATGTATTTGGAAATTTTACGTGAAGATAATTTTGGGGCATTCCTTAAGACCAGAAAAGCAATATGTAAGAAGTGTCAATCCTGTGTTTCTCACAATTTCCAGGCTATTGTGGCCAGATGCTGAGGGTTTCAAGTGGCATTGTGTAGGTAATAGGCTCGTTGTCAATGCTTTCTTTCAAACAACATATGGCCAATGGTTTGTCTAGAGAATAGCTCTTTAATATGATATATGATGTTTTAAATATGAGAAAAAGGTTTGTGCACAATTTTTGAGATAAAAATACCTTCCTTCTGTTCATTTTGAATGTGTGATGTTTTATACATTTCCTGAAATCATTGAATCAGGAATGGTTCTTTGAAAATGTGGTAAATGCTTTTCAGTTTGTTTTTGCAAAATGTCAGTCATACTGCTTTCCTTATACAGTCTGTCTGATTCACCAGGAATGCAGAGAATTGTAGCTTGTGGATTGTTTATCATCAAATCTTAGTGATGCAAATTGTTGCTCCTTGTGGGATCTGAGGACTTGGGAATAGTTATTCTTGGCAAGAAAGCTCTTAGAAATTATTAGGTGAGAGATGTGTGGAGGTTCCGTGTGGAATACCTACCTGAACGTATCTCAAAGGCCATTTTTACAAATCGCCATGAGCTGGGATTTGTGTGTACTGCGTATTAGGAAACTGTACATTACACATTATTGATCTTCAGTAATGCTCATCCCTGACCTTAATTTAGAATTCTCTTGTTATTTTGTTGCTTTTTTCTATGTAAAATTCTTATAAAAGCTTTGTTGTACCTGGGTCAAGACAAGCAGATTGGGAGCATTCAATTCTGTACTAGTGACTGACCATGAGTGCACTGAGAGATGGCTACTCTTTTTCTGGGCTTGTCCATACAGTTGATCATCATCATTTCTTTCACGTTGACCTGCACCTTCATGGGAATCTAAAGTGGTGCTTTTGGGTTCTGGTCACAGGAGTCATAGGGATCCTGCTGTACTGTTAACGTTATGGAAAGGAGGGGCGTAAAAGCAGGACAGAGGTTCCTCTGGCTTACACTGAGACTGCTCCCCTAGGGCATCCAAAGATGATCTTTCATCAGCCCTTTTATGAAAAGCTTCAAGGGCAGAGTTTTCCAGATGACATTGTGGATCTCTGTTCTCTATTCTTGTTCCCATTTCTCTCTTCACTTTTGTGACTTCCCTGTAGCCAAGAATCCTCTTCTATTCCAGATCCTTTTGTGACTTCCTGCAACTGGAGGGTCCATGTTGGAGGCTGCCTTTGTCTTTGGCTGGTCTTCTGCCACCCTGTTTCAGCAGAGGCCTCAGGTAGCTTCCAGCAGCCCAGAGGAGTGGGTAATTCATTCACTATCACCACACAGTGGTCCTTTAACTGAACCCAACTCCCACTCTTCTCCCATGTTAGCTATTAACCAGGTGGGAGTTTATGATCTGTGGACACTTATTTCCTGTGGAAACAATCTGTAGGATTTTTTTCTTAATTGAAGTGAAGTGATTAAGATTTTCAGAAGTTCTCATTAACTACTCAAGCAAGAGATTAAGTCTGGCAAAGACTTTCCAGTTGGAAGATTCTTTAGTGTTACAGACAAGTGGTAATTCCCAGGAAAGGATACAATCCACATCTCCTTTTCATCAAGTAATTGGAGCTGACATCATCTCTATCCAGCAGGAATAGCAGAAGGTTATTAAGAGGCTACTGATGTTCTTTTGCCATGGGGTTTGTAATTTTTCTTACTCTTCATTCCAGAAAATTCCAGAAATTTCTTATTTGATGTTGATAAGATCATCTAGGGAACAATGAATGGTAGCGACATTTGTTCTTGGAATTTATTTTATAGTGATTTACTTTGGTGATGGAGACAGCTGTAGAATGTTCCTAAACCTTACTGAATATGGTATTTCTCTGCTCTTGAGCAGTTCTAGTCATGCCAACCTACACCTCTGTGTCCTTGGGCCTTGGTGCTGGAATTCCTTTCCGTTTTGTTCGCTCTCAGTTTCCTTTGATCTGAAGAAGATTCCTTGAATGTCAGAATCATGTGGCACTTGGCTTACCACACTCCAGAGATGCCTAGTATCTTATGCAGTCCAAAACAATCTTGTGATCTTTCTTCCTTTGATTGAAATAAATGAGAAGAGTAATTAGCCTGAGGCATAGTTCTTGTTATTGAGTATCATTTGATCAGTTCTTATGACCATCAAAAATGTGACTGAAGTGAACTGATTAGGGGTTGAGAAGCACACATGTAATAGATTTGGTTCTATTCTGTATAGTGCTGCTATAAGGGCTTTGAATTCTTTTTGTCTTTAAGAATTTTATTTTTCCTGGATTTCAGCATGCAAAAATGTTTTTATTTGAAAGGATGAATTACACAGAAGAAGAGAAAAACAGCAAGAGAGAGAGAGAATGAGAATCTTCCATCTGCTAGCTTCCTTCCCAAACGGATTGCAATGACCAGTGCTGGAGCTCTCCCATGCCAGGAAGCAGGAGCTTCTTCTGGGTCTCGCATGTGGGTGCTGGGATCCAAGGACTCGTGCCACCCTCCACTGCTTTCCTAGGTCACATGCAGGGAGCTGGATCAGTAATGGAGCAGTCAGGATTTGAACCAGCACCCAAAGAGATGCAGACACCATAGGTGGAAGTTTACCGTGCTATAAAACAGCACAGGCCCCAAAGCTTTGTTTTCTTTCTGGACACACATGATAGGGAGTATAAATTCATTCCATATTAGTTCTGATGCAATTTCAATAGAATTTTAAAGAAGTTTCATAGTAATGAATATATAGTCACTTCTGATAGCTACAGACAGTATGTTGTATATAGAAAATTACCCTGAGTTATTAAAGAGACTTCAGAAAATTGCATATACCATCCTGTACCCATACAAAACATTGTAAGGTTTAAATTGACAAAAAATGTATTACTATACTTCTTTGAGGAATTAATAGGGTCATAATAGAAATTGTATGTAGCTATGGCTTAGCAATACTACTTTTAGGGATTTATCCTACATGAATCTGTGCACCAGTAAGAATATTTGTATAAAAGTATCAACTACAGCATTATTTATAGAGGAAAACCATCTGGAAAAAAGTCTATTCATCAATGGTAAAATGGTTATAGTATGTTTACACCCTATAATATTATGGAGCTTTTCAGAGTATTGTTTAAACTTTATGTTTTAAGACCTCAAATATTATATAGACGTTCTTAATTTTTATAAACTCAGCATTACCTTTCCCCATGTACGAATATGCATCTTTGGTATTTGCTTGAATATCATGGAAAAAGACTGACCAAGCTGTTAATATTCCCCATTGAGGGGCAAGGCATGTGGAAGGAGGGGGAAGATGTAACAAGGAAAGATCCAGAAACATGAGGAAAAGCATTAACTTTTTTTTTTTACAGAGTTTTCCATTATTTCTTTTATTGCAGTGACTGTTTCACTTTTGTGGTATTTGAAGAGTTGGGATTGGGAGATAGGACTGGCTGAGGACAGAATAGAATCCAGAAACCAGCAGGAGAAGGCAGTTGAGAAAGACTCTTAGATTAGACTGGAAAGGGACACTTCGGGCCTGGAGAAGTAAAAGAATGGTCATAGGAATCCAACAGGGGGAGGTTATCAGAGAGAACTGTCTAGTAGGAACAAAGGTTTGTGGTAGAGGTGTTCAGTAGAGAGCATGCTGTGGATATTCTGAAGTCATTCTGTCTTAATTTTGTGTCTATAAATCTCCTCTAACTGCACCAACCAGAAGACAGAGTGTAAGGGAACCAAGGCAGTGGATGTGGCATGCAGTCAGCCTCTTGTACAGTCAGCCTCTTAGGGCTGCAGCTGGTGAGGAAAGATGGGAAGTGGTTCTGGAAGGTCATGTATGTTGCTAGATGATACAGATGAATTGGGCCAGGAAGGCCCAGGTAAACACTGACTTCCAATTCCCTTTGAGGGAGCTCTTTCACTGGGATGATCATTCCAGGAGTAGATTGTAAGAGGCTGAAGGTGAGCAGGTGATGAAGCACTAGAAATACTGGTTATGAGTTGTGCCCCAATTTATTGATAAATGGATGTAGATTGACAGAATGGTGGTGTGTTTTTTTGTTTGAAGGGCAGGTAGACACAAAGAATGTTCTCTACTGGTCTACTCCTCTGGCTGCCTGCAACAACCTGCCTTCGCTGCTAGGCCGAGGAGAAGATTAGGAGCCAGGAACTCGGTCCACTTCTCCCAAGTGGGTAGCAGGGATGAACTACTTGACCTAT